CTTTGTAACACCAGTTACTAAACAAACAATAGAAATGAAAAAGGATACTGAATAAGGGTCCACCAAAACATGCACCAATGGACATAACAGGTCGACCGGCTTTGGCATTTGTAGTATCTGTAACTAAATCTGAATACAAAATATCTCAATAATAGCGTTATCATTACATGTGTATTGAACATGGTGTATTTGTACTTAGAAACATAGATACAGTTCAAAATTGTTAGATCTTAGGAACAAGTGATCTAGCTTTTACGGTATTACAAACCCCGGCCTGGATTCGAGCATGTTTCAAAACACATGCATAGCTCACGTGCATTTTAATCACACATATTCTTTCAGCGGATTAACACAGTACTTACCTGCTATGCTATTTCCAATGGCTAGTAATAGAAATCCAAGAAGTTCTTCACTCAAATCAAACATAATACCAAGTGCCTAGTGGAAAATGAATATGCGAAAAGAGAAAAAAAAAAACGTTATTTACTTCTTCGAGCGTATTTGCATGACTGTACGAAAGACGCCTGGTAGTATTGCCCCGATGAACAAGACCCGAACGCTAATTTGTTCATTTGAATAAAAACACAGGGTTTTACAACCACCCAAACGTTCCCAGTCGAATCTGACATCATTATCGCTACCCAGAGTCTTATTTTCCTTGTTACCCATCCATCAACTTGAATACTTCAAGGAATATGACCAAGCTGCAATACGAAAGCGTGTAGAACATTTTTCCGTCGCCAGTTTGTGAAAATATCCAAATTACACCCACTTTAACACATAAGTATTAAAACTGAAAATTACTGACCAATGACCTATAACATTTTCTGTCTATTTTGTTCACAATTAAGGCAGAATTTTGAGAAAATCATGGAAAATGCGCAAATATTTGAACCGAGATTTTTGAAGGAGACGATCGGGTTAACCCCGCATACCTGAAGGGCATTGATGATTTCATTAGCAGTCGCGTAGATCCAGACGACACCCATACCAAAACCAGCATACGCAAACACCTGAAAAAAGGCGTATATTAACTACATCATGACATGCTCCAATAACCGACTTATATACGATACAATATTCCTACTAACTTCCATAAATATATTATAACATGACCATGGTGCATATCATTCATATTCATTCTAATAAAAATGTATAGTCACAAAGTATTTTTTAAATAAAAAATGTGTCAAATACCTATAAAATCTATTAAAGGGCGGTGGCGTCGCGCTGCGCGTGTTCGAATTTCATGTAAATAAACAATATATTTTACACGCTTTGTGTACGTCGCTATGAGTCCCATATCAAACAGGACACGGCACGACGACTACCGCCCTTCACAATCTCCAGGTGCGGTTGCCGCATTCTAAGTCAGATACCGCTCTCTCGTTTTGCATTATTCAAATATTGTACTTCTCTCACGCGTGGGCCATTCATTATGTGAACGATTGCACCCACTTTTCAACGCAGAAGTCATCCGAAGATTGCTGGTTCAAATCCCGATAAAGGTAGTTATATTTCATTTGTTCATATGGCGTAAATATGGTATTTAAATAGGTTTATCTGCTCATTTGTCAGTCAGTCAAGTCTAACAAAGATTGTGGGATTCGAGTCCCGCCTGTCATGTCATTTCATTTCTAAATTACAAATAACAGATTTGAAGCGATATTAAGTGTTGCATGTATACTTTTGAGCCATCAAACCTATGGTAGGCTGATTATCTGGCTCATTGGCGGATTTAGAGGGGGCCGAGGGGGCCGCGCCCCCTATTTTTAACAACCAACAGGGCTTCGCGCCACCGGCGCTCGCGAACTTGGCCTTCGGCCAACTAATCTGCCCCCTCTATTCCAGAATCCTAGATCCGCCCCTGTGGCTTGTTAAGAATAAAACTTTATTTGACCACTCACCCAGTGGTATACAGGCGGTTTATCATGGGAGGAAGTCAGGAAGACCAATACTGATAATATCGCTCCTATGATCAAAGCTACGTGCCACACAAGAAACTGGTCCGACACGGGAACGGAATGGCCTGGAAGCAACAAAACAATGGCAATTTAATGATGCATGATATAATTAAAAGTTGACAACACAACTTTATCTGGATATCTAGTATCACTGTGCCACTGTACAGGCACGATGTTTATCTATGTACATAAATTTACTTACACATTGTCACTACAGTGGAAAATACTGGAGCTGTTATCATATGGAGGCAGTTCAATATTTTATTCCAATTTTTCATATCTTTTTCATGATCAACTAGAGGGATTGTTAGAATGGCAAGAAACATCACAGGCATCTGCAAAAAAAACACCATTATTATATTTAAAAATATAATCCTGAGCAAATTGTCTATGTACGTTTAAAATAATTTCGCAGATCATTATTTATTTTCAATAATGATGGCCATCACGATTATTTGTTGTACTTGTAAGGAGGCTCGTACAATTCTCCTCTGACTGAACAGATTTCGAACGTACACTGTTGACAAGAACATTGTGAGAGAGGGGACATACTGTATTATTATCTCCAGGCGTTAGGTAGTATTAGACTCGTATGAACTGTATAGCACTAAATGTTAACAGTCATTTGATGTATCGAATAACCCTCTTAACATTATTCCTCGTGCACATATATAGATAATTCATGCAAATAAAAAAAAGGTTCAGTCTCGATTAAAACTCTACAGCACAGTGGACAGTGTGTTAAAAAGTAAATCATATATATTGATCATTATTTTATCGTGTTTATCATCGTATGTGTACTCTCGTATGTGTATTCTCGTATGTGTACTCTCGTATGTGTATTCTCGTATGTGTATTTTCGTATGTGTACTCTCGTATGTGTACTCTCGTATGTGTACTTTCGTGTGTTTACTCTCGAATGTTTACGTTACCTTGAGCACATCAAGTATTTTGCCAACTAGCTTTTGATATTTCCACCTTCTATGGTCAATAGGAACCAATGCTAGAAAGAATACACGTAGCCGACCTTTCACCCCCGGTTTAATTTCCACCTTGGTAAAAAGAGGTTCATAATCTATGTAAAAACAAAAATAATGTAAAATTTATCTTCGCCGCAGGTTAAAATCTTTGATTCACAGACATTACACCCTCATATTATTTTCAGAATTTCTGATTGCAAGAACTTGTGTACAACCACTTAGGTGACCCAATCAGATTGCAAGAACCTGCATACAACCGCTTGTGTGAACCAATCAGATAGCGAGAATTTGTGTACAACCACTTAGGTGACCCAATCAGATTGCAAGAACCTGCATACAACCGCTTGTGTGAACCAATCAGATAGCGAGAATTTGTGTACAACCACTTAGGTGACCCAATCAGATTGCAAGAACCTGTATACAACCGCTTGTGTGAACCAATCAGATAGCGAGAATTTGTGTACAACCACCTAGGTGACCCAATCAGATTGCAAGAACCTGTATACAATATGTGTCGATTACAAATAATCATACCTATATGCATATTCTCTACCAAGGTATCTCCATCACTGTCACCAGTAGATGTGATTGTCCCATACGTTTGCGGCGCTGGTGAATCAGTTGAATGAGTTTCTGCAAGTGTGTTGTCTGTTTTACCAGCTGACGACTCTGTGGGCAACGGTTTCAGAGTCTCACTCTTCTTCGTTTCTTGCTCAACCTTTTCAATGCGAAATTTCTGAGAATCTAAACATGGGACAACAACAATTATAATGGTAAAGTACAATTAACAATTTGTAATTACACATGTATGCATATAGTGATGCAAATGTGGCATTTATTCTATGTTAACATTACATCAAACTTGCATAGATTCACTATAGCTACATATTTGACAACACTTCATTTGCATATTTTTAATAACTTTGTATTATATAACAATTGAGACCCATGAACCATGAAGCCGACACCTTCAATGACCTAATTATCTGGCCTAGATATGACTGCTGGAAATGCTACACTGTCTGGCCCTTTGAGAAGACGTGAACCATACAATACAAAAATTTGCACTTGATCTAGAAAAAATATCCAAACCTATGTGATTATATAACTTTCATTCTCATCTCCCATTCGTTACAAGTATTTGAGGTTTGCCATGCATTAACAAGGTCAACTGTTATTGCCATTTGTAGACTTGTTTTGCTTTGTAGGATACCTATGTTTAGGAGCAGGAATCAAATACTGATTGAACTAGTCAATGGAACGCTCATATATTTCTTGATTTCTTGACCTGATGTACAGCAATGTATTCATCCATATTGCTAGTTTGGATGACAAACAACATCCAAGCAAATAATTAATTATAATGCAGTAAGTCATTCTGAGTACGCAACATATTGAAAGTTAACAACGCATAAATACCGTATTTCGGCTGGGCATGTGTCTTGAAAAGGCGTTCGTAGAAAACACTTTTAGAGACAAATTGAAAATAATTCTAGTACCCATGCACGTAATATTGAGTATATATTTATTCCCCAACCGTGCGTGAGAAACAGTCTTATTTGCATTAAATACAGAATCGTAACATTAAATTTTAGACCTTCAATTTCCATTTTTCCAACATTAACCATGCGGTGCACAATAACAAATCGTACTTACCAGTTAGTATAAACACGCCCTCTACGTCTGGTGTATACATATCAGTACCTTGCTTTTGTTTTTCATGATGTTGACTGCATTTATGTCCAATGATAACAAATGCAACGAAGACGACATACAGACCAATGTAACCTGAAAACAATTACCTCAGACTATAATGAACAACAAAAGGTTACAAAATGTATTCGATTTTGTGTGTTTCTTCTATGTTAAAATAATTACATAGACCGTATTTGTGTTGCGGTTCAAAATTTGTCCTTATGGATTCTCGCGCTCATTGGCTCCACAGAGAAGAATTTCTCCTGAGGCTGCTGGGAAATATGTATGCTCCATTCGTTTATATAATTTCAAATGGAATGACTAGTGGGTCTGGGGTAGTCATCTGAGTAATGAATACCAAATATGGTCCTTCCACACGACGTCTATATCTGCGCATGCGTAGTTGAA